AAACGGGGCACGAACCCGCGTCTCCTGCATCGGCAGGCGGACTCTCAAGCACTGCGCCACCAGGGAAGCCCAAATTACATTATCTTGAATGAATTATTCTTGGAAAATTTTCTCTTAAAATTCTTAAATTTCTGCCTGCCAGGCAAAAGCAAGTAATTATTTTCCAAATACCTAGATGTCATTTTGAAGTATCTCTATTTTGACCTGTTATGTTCAGTGAGAAAATAGCTCTGCTTCATATGCTAGCTTTCAGGGTCTGAGACTTGATGCTTCTGTTTCCATGTGATTATTTGCAGAATAGAATTTACAAAGGGAGAAATAATGAGCCAGTGGGAAAATCAGATGTTTATTAGTGTGTGTTTTCATTTTTTGAGGGGGAAGGGATTCGGTAGATATGGTTTTCCCAGAATATCAGTGACACCCATATTTCAAAATAGCCTGTTACACCAAGTACAGATAATCTGTTGTTTTGTTTATCTACCATATTGTTCCTTTTTATTTGGTTGATGAGCATAAATGGACAGATTTGGAAAAGATGGCTTAAATCATTCATTTGGGGTGGCTCTCATCCAAATCACATTTTGTTTGGAAAGCAAGGTGTTTTGTTTTACTGAAATTGTATCTGAATGCCTTGAAGTGGAGTATATACTCCCTGTCTTATACCCAGCTGTCTTATGAAATTGTACTATCTGCCTGGATGTTTAGCCTGAAAAACCAACAGGATTTCATCATCAGTCTCTGTTACTAACTTTGATGCATTTCAGCAGGTAAAAGTTCTAAATAATTGATAATAAAATCTTTCCAGAAAATGTCTTCTTTAGGCTAGATGTAGTTCAGCTTGTTAGACTGAAATTTGGGAATCAGCAATAGAGAGAAAGGCTACAAAATGGATCCTTTTAAAACTGTAGCATCTAACATTTTCACCTGGTATTGCATTGGAGTATCTGAAAGATGTGAATGTGGTACAGTGGATGCAGCAGAAAATGAAGACGGGAATAGCAGAAATATGTTTACTATTTCTTCCTTTTTCCCTTAAACTAATAGAGTTTTCAAATGAGTCAGATACATATTTTAATTGATAAACTGACTTTATATTCACCTATTGGAAACAGTACAACATATTTTTACATCAGATTATGAAATACGGATGTTTTACTAAAAGACAGGAAGAGCTTGTTCCAGTCTTTAAAGTAAATACATATTCAAAGGATCTTAAGGCATACCATTTATTCATATTCATATCTATTGAAATACTGTACATCCACATACTTCAATAAATAGTTAAAAACCTGACCTCTTTTTAAATCATTTCTGAGTTTCAAAAAATTTTTATTGAAAAGATTAAATAGATAACTTTTGGCTGTGTCACAAAGCTAAGCACAATGGATAAATTAACAATTATTCAGTAAATTTGATCAATATAGATAATTGGCTTTGATAAATTTCTCAGAGTTTTCTGAGTTCACACACTGGGGTATTTATATATATATATATATATATATATATATATATATATATATATATATAGTCCTGAATTATCTGGTAATTTTCTCAGTTCTCCAGTCTACTTTCTAGATATAGCTTAAAAGTTATGATGAAGCATTAATCTTTCAGTTAAGTCTAAACTCCCCAAAAGTGGCTTTAAGTTTGACATTCTCTCTCTCAAATCTTTTAGTGTCACCCCATAACACAATACTGTAATTTGGGCAGTACTTTTTGTTATATAATTGCTGCATAATAGGAACTTAATGGTGTAACAGGACTTATGTTTCAAATGGGATCGTTGTAAAACATAATTACACCAGTTGCAGTTAAAAGAATGTAAATGTATTAAGTCAGCTACCCTAATATTCTGGTTCCTCCCTCCCTCCCTTCCTTTATTCTTTCTTTCTTTTTTTTTTGCTTCTCCCTTTACCTCTTTCCATTTTCAGTCTTTTTCTTTTCTTTCTACTCTCCTTTCTCAACGGCTATTTTTCTTTTTTCTTTCTTTGAAAACAATTCAGGGGCAACAAAAAGAGTCCCACAAATGAAACCCGTGGAAATATAATGCTGAAATGAATAGCTAGAAAAATTGTTATAGATCAAAAGATAAATCAGTTTCATAAAACTGCTATTTTGAAATTGCAACAATCTTGTACAATCAGGACTGATAAAATGGAGTAATCAGACGTTTCATATGTCCATAAATGTAAAATCATCTACTTGAACATTATATGCAATACATTCGCACAAAAAAGCAAATACTGTAGCCTTATTTGAACAATATTGAACTCATAAATACTCATGATTTCACTCTGTCCAGGGGCCTAACAACTAGGAATGCTGCTTGATACAGAAAAACATAGTGAATACCTCCTCTATTTAAAAAGTCACTCAAGAAATTCTCTTCTAACATAAAGGCAAATACATATAGCTACTGAGCTATGACTGTACTTCTGTCACATCCTATGGGAAAAACACCAGACTCCACAAATTCGGAATCATGACAACACTTTGAACTAATTATTTGGTTCATCCATAGTTTATACCTCAATTTACCTCACATTTATCCTACAAACCTTACAAAGAGGAGGTATTTTTAACTCTAGGAAAGCGATCACTGTATAATATGCATTCTTGATCTGTTTCTTTCTCCCAAACAATGGTGCTGATGGTTAACACTTTTGTGGTAGCACCACTATTTCTAGTAAGTAGATTATTATGGAGTGTGCCACTTTAAAGCTGCAATACACACAAAAAATATTTTGTAGTTTACTCACCAATTCCACAAAGAATATTTTTAAAAAGCAAATCAATAATAATCAAAGTTAAAATGCCATATGTGTTTAAGAAAAACCCTATATCAGTCAAAATAATGTAATAAATTATTACAGTGGGTAAATTTAATAGCATTATGCCATATTATTGCCATTTTGTGGAAATATTGTACATTTATGCCTCCTCATTTAGGATTCACATTTCTAATTAAAACAGATTTGTGGTGTACTTTGGGACTAAATTTTACTTACATTTTACTTACATACATTCCTTTCAGGGCAAAATATTAGATATTTAAATGTATACAATCTCTGTGAAATATCTTGTTTCTAACTATATTAGTAGGTGTTTTGTAGTTACTATGACTTGCAAAAGGGAACTATTTGCAGAAATCTCTCTAAGTATAGTGAAATTGGTAACTTTATTAAACCTGTAAAATGGCTTTCAAGGCTATTGTCTTTCTTTAGTAAAGAGTAACACCAACAAACTATTCTTGTAATATAATACTTCTTAGAGTAACAGCATTTTCTTTCAAAAATGTAGTTTTCATTCTTTATGATAGAAATAATTTAATATCCATGATAAATTAATAATTAGTAGATTTTAAGATATTCTTCATCACCGGTGGCTGGTCTCCATTTGAACACATCTTACATATATCATATAAGAAGAAATAAAGCATGGTAATTTTTTTTTTTCTTTTTGGCCTTGTTTGTTTGAGCTGACTGGCTATAGAGAAAGATTTAACTGCAGAATTTGTTATTTCAGAGAATGATCTGCTGCATACCAGCATGGAATATTTGTTATAACATATTTTGGAGCTTTCTAAATACAATATGCATACCAAACTATCAACTGAGTGATGTTTTCAGATGGAAAATAGGCAAAATACACCTATCCACAGGAACACTATATCTAGCATACCAACTTACCTGCCACAGAACCAAAAATTTTTTTTTTTTTTCTTTTTTTTTTTTTTTTTTTTTTTTTTTTGCGATATGTGGGCCTCTCACTGTCGTGGCCTTTCCCGTTGCCGGATGCGCAAGCTCAGCGCCCATGGCTCACGGGCCCAGCCGCTCCGCGGCATGTGGGATCCTCCCGGACCGGGGCACGAACCCGTATCCCCTGCATCAGCAGGCGGACTCTCAACCACTGCGCCACCAGGGAGGCCCAAGAACCAAAAATTTTGAGTGCTTACCAACTCATGTAATATTAGGTAATTGGACTTTGTGTCCTTTCTGACAAACCATCTTAAAAATTTTGGCCTGGAACAGTGAAAGGAAAAGATGCTGTATTGCTAGGCAATCCTTTGGATAGACTGTACTATCATTTTAAAGGGAATTATTTCCCAGAGTGGATCTAATATTTAGCTACAACTAAAGAAATCATATGGTAGATTTACCTGTACTATGTTAGTTAAATTGTTTTTCATCACAAAACTGAGTCATCGTAGGGCAAAATTCTCAAAATGCGGGAAGAGATTTTTACAGCTTGATAACTCCTTTGTTCTTTAGAGACAGGATATAGTTTAACTTTATCATTGTGGTTTACTTTTGCTTTCAAATTGTAGAATTTGGCAAAAACACTTTTATTAGTTGGAGATGAAGAGAAAATTATTATTTCATGAAGGCACACCCATGCTGAACTTACAGGAAAGAGAAGCAGAGCTGCACAGCCAGTTATATTACAAGGCTCATTCCTGAAACCTGAATATCATGCGAGCAGAAAAATCTAGATATGTTATATTTTGAAGAAATGATCTGAAGGCAGTACTATTTGCTTTTTTATCAAAAAAGAAAAAAATGCATCTTTGTAAATGTGGATTGACTCTTATTGAAACAGGGAAATGAATGCTTGTATTGCAGCCTTAAAGAATCACATATTCACTGCAATATTCGTTTTTTGTAAACTACAGCCTGCAACCTAGCAGACCATGACTGAATGCTTTTGAAAAGTTGTAGATTACAAACATGAAATCACAATTAATATCCTCTAAAAGTAATTTCAGAGCTTTTCACATCTTAAAAAAAGGACAATGTGTACTGCTTCACAAGGTAATGTAGCTAATCAAAAAAAGAGTAGAATTAAAGTATTTACATAATGAGCAATTCTACAGAAGGCGATCATCCCCATGTAAGCACTGCTGATTATATCCCACGCTGCTTTTAACAAACTGTACCAGATTGGATCCAGCCATCAGCACTTTCAGAGAATCCTTAAAAGCCTTTTATGGGTCTTTAAATTTATTGTAGAATGGCATTCTTCAGGTAGAATATGCTGGTGAAAGAGGACAGTGTCAACACAAGGTACCAGCAGGAGAAAAGAACGTCAGCGCTCCCGGTAATTCCATACTGGGCTGTACTTGGAGCTGGAAAGAAATGGAAAAGAATAAATCAAAATCTAATTTGTGTCTTTCAAGATCTTAACAATAATCAAAAGGCAGCCGGGTGTACTGGGGAGAACACTGGCATTGGAGTCAGACAGACTTAGGTTCACATCTGGTTCTGCAGTATGACAATGTGTGGCCTATTTGACTAACCTCTCTGAGCTTCACTTTTCTCAAGGGCAAAATAGAAATAATATAATCCACCTGGCAGGGTTGCAGTGAGAACTGGAGATGAAGCACATGTAGCACATTGCACTGGGCTGGACACACACTAAGTATTCAACAAATATCAGCTAACATTATTATTCCTCTTATATTCATTGTAAATATTAGTGGACAATATTCATTTAGTATATATTTTAAATTTTTATTGAGATATAATTGACTTATAACATTGTTTTAGTCTAAGGTGTACAACAGTGTTGATTTGACACATTTATATATTGCAATGTGATTGCTACCATAACGGTAGCTAATACCTCTATCATGTCACTTAATTATCATTTCTTTTCTGTGGTGGGGACAATTAAGATCTAGTCTCTTAGCAACTTTGAAGGTATTGTTGTCTATAAACACTATGCTGTGCATTAGCTTTCCAGAACTTATTTATCTACTGATGGTTAGTTTGTACACTTAAACAACAATCTCCCCAGTTTCCCCAGCTCCCAGCCTCTGGTAACCACTATTCTACTCTCTGTTTTTACAAGTTCTACTATTTTTAGATTCCACATTTAAGTGATATCATGCATATATACATGCATATATTTTTGGATCTTTTTTATTGGCCAAATACTATACAAAATGCTGGAAAAACAAAGAGGTTTTCTCTTCTAATACCTTTTCCAATCCTAGGAACATTAGAATTGCATGTGCAAACTGCAGTGACACAGAAAACTGTGTATTTAAATCTGCCTGGCCAAGGGAAGGATGATTTAACAGAGAGTTTTACCAAAGGGGACCATCATTTGGGTAGGGAAAACAATATATTCAAAGGCATGAGGAAAGGAGAGAGCACGGCATGTATTCTAGGATCTAAAAGTAGGTTAGTCTTGCTGGACTGTGAAGTTTGAGACCTGGAGTGGAGAGAATTTAAATGGAACTGTAGACAGATAGAATGACCTTGCCTGTAATGAAAAAAAGTTTAGCTTTTTAGACTGAAGGAGATTTTGAAGAATTTGGAGCTGTTGAATTGTATGATTACATTCATACATTGGAAAGATCACAGTTTTATACATAGAGAAGCTCCTGTGGGTACTTGGCTAACAGTTACGTTGAATTTTCACTGAGAGGTTTCACCTAGAGATTCACCAAGCTTGGGTTACTGTGAGAGTCTACTGAATGGATTCCACTTCATTTCACAGAGGACAGTTGCCTCTTTGAATGTGAATTATATTGTGTTACAGAAACTGTCACAGGCATGCTCAAGCTTTGCTTGAGACTGATTCTCATTTACCATAAGAATAAGAATAGTAATAATAAAAAACTCCACCAACATACTTTTAACTACCTCTTCTTAATGAAACCTGGATTTCATGTGCTGTTTCCTACTAGGAAATGAATAATGCAATTAAAAAAATACTGTTTCACCCCCAAATTCATAAATCCAGAAGCGGTTTTAGTCACACTAAGTTTCAATTACCAACAGCTAGTTTTTAATGGAACTTTCACCAATGACTATATTTTCATGTTACAAGAAGAATAAATTGTGTTGTTTATAACTCTAAGAAATTAAAGGAGATGAAAGATGCATTGGTCCCTGCCAGTGGGGAGTTTTCTTGACAGTACAATTGTTGATTCTGTGTGAGTGAGATTCAAGGGCTGAGACTACTACTCTTTAGTAAACATGGAGCAAAATCAACTATTTGATGTTTTTATTTGCATCACAAATGAGTTTTAAACAAGGAGAAGATGATGAAGAAAATAAGTCTATTGTTGAACAGATAGCTTTTCAAGTTTTGATATGTAAGAAGTCTAATTTAAAACCACAAAACTCCTTAAATTATTTTCTCTTGTTCAAGACTTAGAACGATTTTATTTTTTTAATATAAACAAATATTTAATTGGTCTGTTACCTTCTCAGTGACAGCTATTTCAGAGTTATTTTTGCTGTATTTTTAAGAATCTTGAGTGCAATAAAACTGGTATAATAATACAGGACTAATAATAAGCAAATCACATAAAATGATTTCATAAGTAAGAAATAGATCTTAAAAGCCAAGCACACAAAGCAAAGATAACATTTTTATATCATGACAAATTAAATATTACATTAAGTGGGTAGAGTATAAAAGACTCTCAAAACTCCTTACTCATCCTTTAAAATGCATTTTTGGGGCAATCTTTCCTGAATCCCTTCTATTTCTCCAACAAGCTGAGCAGATTACCCTATTGTGTCATTAGGTCACAATATATATTCCTTTTTATACAGCTATCATACTGCATTGCAAATATTTATGTACATATCTATTTCTCTCACCAGACTGTAAACTCTCCTAGGTCATGTTTTATTTATCTTAGTGTTTCCAGACACAATGTCTGGCAAGTTCTGGTACACAGTGGATGTTCAAGAAATATCTGTTGAATGAACAATTCAATTAAATAAATAAATAGGTCAGAGTTAAAAGGAGTATGTCTCTCCTATAAAACAGAATCTCTTCTGAAGCAAGCCACTTGTCTATAAGCTAGAGAATCTACCATATGCTTTCTTTCATTCATTCAGCAAATATTTATTAAACTAGGTACCAGGGACTGTACTAAGTACTGGAAATACAATATATAATAAGGTGGGTATGATCCTTTTGTTACTCAATTTCAAATATCTCCATATATATTCCTTTTTATCATATACCTTAAATGCCATCTTTTTCTCCAATGTGCCTTTGTCTTCTACTCAGCCTCCTATTGTTTTAGACATGACAAATCTATATTTAAAAATTAAATATTACTTTGTAATTAACAGTATATATATTTTTCCCTGGATGTCTCAAATGGATGTACTTTTTAGTTGTTTGTGAATGCAATACTTCCATTAGTCCTAAAATAAAGTAGGAGCCTTTTGCAGCACTGTTACTTGCAATTATTGAATATTATCGAAAATGTACTGTAAAATAGCTATTGACAATTAGTAGGCCCCAAAATAAAGAGCAACGTTAGTTAAGGGAATGTGAGGTCAGATATCTAATGCCAAGTCGTATATCATGTATCATCTTTAAGTATATGTGGAGCATCGTTTTTTGGTCCTGGGAATTGAACACAAGCAAAGATAAATAAAACTCAATCTCCTCTCAGGAAAGTTTCATTCTAGTTGGAGATATAAATAAAAAGGCAAATATTGAACATTAGGATTTATATAATTACTATAAGGATAATGAATGAACACAGGAGGGATCCCCAAGGACTCATGGCAGGTAAGTAGTCCAGGCAGCAGACACAGTAACAATTATGTTTTACAAAATGCAGTGATATACACATGTTAGTACATATATATATCTCACTTTAAAAAACTACAGCATAGGGCTTCCCTGGTGGCACAGTGGTTGAGGGTCCGCCTGCCGATGCAGGGAACATGGGTTCGTGACCCGGTCCGGGAAGATCCCACATGCCGCGGAGCGGCTGGGCCCGTGAGCCATGGCCGCTGAGCCTGCGCGTCTGGAGCCTGTGCTCCGCAACAGGAGAGGCCACAGTGGTGAGAGGCCCGCGTATCACACACACACACAAAAGAAACTACAGCATAGTAGCCCATTGACTTAGGTATCTTATTATTATGTAATGTTTATCTCATTGACTGATATTTATTATGTGTTTTGGGAGGACTTGTAAACTGAGTGAGGCTAATGGTACTAAAGTTAGGGGTCTTAGTACTATTTGGGCCACTTAGATTTGCTTGGCATGTTAAATCCCAATCAGCTATTTAAGAAATTATAGAAAATGTTAAGAAATTAAAGAAAATAACTGTTAGCTATTAGAAATTAGCTTTAAGAATCAATTCAAATATCATCTTTAAAAAGTGAAATGTCTTTATAAAACCATATGAAAAATTAATTTGGCATTATATTTAATATCATATTTACATATCTATCTTTCCCCATTAGACCAAGAATGTCTTCAAGACAAGATTTATTATATGTATATTTTATCACTGGTACAGAACGCAGAGTCTAGTACTTAGTAAGTGTTCAATTAAGTATTTGTTGAATGATGATAAAGTTCACATCGATTTCCAATATTATCACCATAAACACATAAGGGGACACAATATCTTGACTTCTTTTTTCGGAAGAATACTTTCATGATCCATATTTTATTCTTTCTTCTCTCTCTACTTTTAGACTCATTCTTACCTTCTAAGACCTGTACAGAGTAAGAATACCTTCCTT